AGAGGGCGTTAGTGTGTTATTCTTCAGCATCTCTTCCTAAAAAAAGGTGCATGCAATTGCTCTGTCTGTCGCTCCGCATGTCTGCCAGTCTAACTGTCTGCTCCCCACCTAATAACTTCATAATAACCTGATGGCCAATCTTAATGATATACAACAGAAGAGGAGACAGCTGGACAACTTTCAGCTCCTCCAACTATTGTGAAAACCCAGCAGCTCAACAGGTGAGAGGCCGGCATTTGCATTCCTCTAAGGGAGAGGCTGAAGCATAAACTCAGCAGATACCTGTTTGATTTGGCTTACCAGTAGACCGGTTGCTTCTTGTGTACCTCCAATGTGGGACAGAAGTATAAGGGAAGTACCATACAGAATTTCTGGTAAACTGAGTTGCATTGGTTCTGCTGCTCTGTTTTCAATTCAAGATAACTCATTTGGCAGATGCTATGAGAGAGAGATTACAGTGACCCAGCCATTTCTTGGTGACAGCCAGCCAGGATAGAGTTACCCTATTGTCCAAGGAGACCTGTAAGTACACCTCTGTCTCATAGTGTGACCAGTACAAGCCACCTCATCAAACGGTTGTTCATACACAGCCATAGATGGAAGGTGAATATCCTTCCATGTCAATGCTATTTAATCCAGGAGCTGAGTTTTGCTCACAGATATTATACAACACACATTTTAAGTCAGATGCTCTGACTCTTACTTAGGAAGTGACTGGCAGTCAGACTCTGGGTCTCACCAGGTCATGGACATGGGCTTCTGAAATCTGTGGTTTTTAATGAAGATGTTAGTGGTTGGAATCATAAAGGTCTTATAAAACAGTAAGTTTGCCTATCCAGTTACACACAGTGAGATTATTCTTGCTTAAAATTACATTTTGACCTCCTCAGCATGTTCCTCTGTGCTGATCTGGTTGACCGGCTTTGCAGTCAATGGAGAAAACTGTGTTTCTGGGACACCTTTCTGGGCGCACTGGGATCTGTTTCAGGTGCTCACTTCAAGATATGATGATTTGTGCCATAAAAGTGCCTACTTTTTTCCAGTGGCTGTAGGGGAAATGTAACAACTAGTTCAAGCATTCAGGTCTCAGTTCAGCTGTTCAGCTATGGTTTAGTGCCATTGAAGAGACCTTGGTGTATCCCACATGGCCTCCTAGAGGGCTTCGGTTTTTGTGTTGGTCTTGTGCTATGTCTGCATCTCCAGGCAGATGTCTTGGATCTCTGGTACATCTCAATTTACAGTGTCTACATGTAGGCAACAGAATGAGGCCTAAGTGGCTGAAACTTTAGAAGCAGGTGTCACCACGTTGGTGCCCTCATGAGCATTAAATATATATGTCCTGGCTTGGGCTTGGATAGAGTTAATTTTCTTCCTAGTAGCTGGCATAGCGCTGTGGTTTAGATTCAGTACTAGAAGAGTCATGTCCTGCTCAGTCTATAAGCCGGGGAATAAGAAGGAAGGGGGGCACATTCGGAGTGATGGTGTTTGTCTTCCCAAGTCACCATTACGCGTGATGGACCCCTGGTTTCCTCGAGATGGCTGAACACCCGCCTGCCCATGGGAAGCAGTGAGTGAACTCCTTGCTTTGCTTTGCTTGCAAACGCGCAGCTTTTGCTTTTCCTATTAAACTGTCTTTATCTCAACCTATGAACTCTACATTTTTTTTTCACGATTCTCTGCCCCATCCCACAGGGGGGTGAGGGAGGAGTGAGCAAATGGCTGTGTGCTGTTTAGCTGCCTGCCAGGTGAAACCACGACATACTTATTACAGTAACTGAAAATCAAGTCAGTATGGTCTCTGGAGCTAAGAGAATGGTACAGCTGATGCGTGTCTAGCAAATCTCACATTCACATTGTAGATCAAGTGAAATGAATCCACCCTAAATGCTTCCTTATCACAGTCCTCCAAAACAGTAACTACTAAAATGATACTATATGGGTGTTGGAGATTATATAGAAATTGATGATTGTCCTTCAGAAAGACAGAGGAAAATACAGCTCTAGAGATAGACGTAGCCATTTGTGGTACAATGGGATAGCGGACTCTTTGGATATTTTTCTCACGAGTCAAGTTTTCAGCTTTCCGTCATGCAAGAAGAAGCAACCACCACCTTGTGAGAGAAGCAATCAGACTGAGGAGAATGGAAATGAAGTCTCTTTCAGAGACCACATTTTTCTAGCTGGTCCTACAACCAGCTGTATTTATTCCTTTTCATAGGACTGGAGCCTCTGCTGAAATCAGTCACTCAGGTGTTGAAAGCTACAATTACAAAACCAGACTGATAAATGCTACCCATGCGTAACACAGTCGGGTGAATTGCTCTGGGCTGGGCTGAGCTGGGGAGTAGAAAGGGGCACCCAGGAATCATGGAAAAACTGATTGCATGGAAGGTACTCTTCTCTCCCGAGACTCCATCAGGAATGTCCGTACCCACCCTGTGCAAAGTTGGAAATATACCTATAGTGTTTCCTTAATCCTTTGCCCAAGCTGCCTGCGAGAGCAGGCAGGGACCCCTCACTACCGAGAAGGAAATACTAAGATGGAGAGAGTGTGGCTGTGTCAGGGTCCTGGCCAGCACTGTCTTAGGTCCATCCCCAGGGTAGTGCTCTTCATTGCTCTTGCTGCCAACTTCTCAGCTCCCCACCAAATACAAAGGTCCGGAACTTTCTTTCTTGAAAACAAGAGCCACTGTTGGTTGGATAGTTAAGGTTCGCCCCAATCTTGCTGGAACAAGCTTTTGAAAGAATGAAGGCAAGGCTACGGACAATCTTGACAACAAGCTAGATTTCCAATACACAAGCCCATCAGCTACCCTGCCCTGGTCTGCAGGGTCTCCAGTGCTCCATTTACACAAGTACATTAAATAATGCCAGGGAGCAATGCCGGCATTGTCACGTTGTTAAAAGGATCCCAGCATGTTTTCAGCCTAGGGCTCTGCTGAATATTTCCTGGGAACAGTTCAGTTGTTAACATAGGCCAGGGACCATTCTCAACCCACAGCTTGTACAAGGCCATCAGCCTTGGAGGCTAAGGGATTCCAGCCATGTGGACATGGGCTGACCCACAGCAATTGACCTTGGTGCCAAAGAGTGGTCCTACAAACATTTAGTTTAACTGTACAGGTGTAGCCGAAGTGGCTAGATCTACTTGCACAATTATGTCCACCTGGAGAGCTCATGGGACGAGTCTTTACATTCACAGCCTATCTTATAAATACTGTATCCACAAGCCATCACCATACAGAGGAAAAAACTACTGGGAAGATTCAGAGCTGGGTTCACTTGCCATTTCCACATCGCTAAATTGTCAAGGCCCAGGAAGACCTTTAACTGTCCTTGTGCCTTTGGCTCTTATTAAACCTGTCAGCCCAGACTTAAGCCGCGCTGCAGGGTGAGGCCTTACAGAAAGGATAGAGGCAGAATTTAACACTTCCTCGTTCCAAGTGCAAAGTGCTTGTTAGCAAACCGGCAGCTGCCTGCTGGACAACCATTTCATTTCATACAGGAGCCAGTCATATCAAATATTTGCAGCTGCACTTTTCTGGACATGGAGCAAGGAGCCCCAAATGGCATATTTTGACTTACTAACCTGGTGGGATCAAAATGTGAACGGCAGAAACAGGCAGGGCTACCCGTACACTGCTGAAGTGCCCCCCCCCCCCCCCCGGGGGTAAGGATTTCTTCAATATTGGAAAGTCCCATCGTATATATTTTTTCTTGCTAATTTCTGATGATCTTCTCATAAGGGAATGTGCTTTGCTCAGGTGCTAAAATAGTCACTTGGGATTTCTCTGCAGGCTGCAGGGCACCCGAGGCATCCACATGATGCTGGTAGCCAAGGTAGAAGGTGTAGGACAGACCCCCTCTTTTCTGAGGCAGCAGCTGGAGGTCTGAATGTCTCAGGTGGCACCAGATGCTCAAGTCTAAGCATCTGAGATGGTCTCAGGTGCCTGAACCTGCACGTGAGTGTTTGGGTGGGTAGGAACAGTCATCGAGCAAGGTAAAACGAGCATGTTGCCTGCATCAAATATTATCATAGAAACATAGAATCATAGAATCCTAGGTTGGAAGGGACCTCAAGGATCATCCAGTCCAACCTTTCTAGGTAAGAGCACAGACTAGACAAGATGGCTCAGCACCCTGTCCAGCTGAGTCTTAAAAGTGTCCAGTGTGGCAGAGTCAACCACTTCCCTGGGGACATTATTCCAGTGGTTGACTGTTCTCAGTGTGAAAAATTTCCCTCTCATAGCCCATCGCAATATCCCCAAGAGCAATTTATGTCCATTCCCCCTTGTCTTCTCCATGTGACTCCTTGTAAAAAGGGAGTCTTCACCTCCCTGGTAGCTACCTATTAGGTACTGGTACGTGGTGATGAGATCCCCTCTAAGCCGCCTTTTCTCAAGGCTGAACAAACCCAGATCTTTCAGCCTGTCCTCATACAGCAGGCTTCCCAGCCCTTTGATCATCTTGGTGGCCCTTCTCTGGAAGACAAAGGCAGAAAAACCATAGGCTACCTAAATACTCATGCCAGCACAACCCACACCGACTTCCAGTCTCTGCTAAGAGCTGTAGATAGGCAGCTGTGAACACGTGCCACTGTAACATATCAGGAAAGCCAGGTCACTGCTAACAGGCCATTTGACATCCCACCCACATGTGGCTGTGGCTTTGTCCACGTGGCTGTCACTGCCCAGAGGCCTGCCTTTAGCTTTGGTGGGAGCACTAAATAAATGTGCAGGGACTGCGGGATTTAATATATTCCATATATCTCCTTTTAATACATGCAGG